CCTTAAACATAAATGGATTAAATGCTCCAATAAAAAGGAATAGAACAGCTGAATGGATAGGAAAGGATGACCCACACACAGGTTGCCTACAAGAGACCCACCTCAGGATAAAAGACCTACACAGACTGAGAGTGAAGGCTGAAAACAAATTTTCCAATCAAACAAACAGGGAAAAAAAGCCAGGGTAGCAATACTCATATCAGACAAAATAGACTTCCAAAAAAAGCCATCATGAAGAAAGACCCAGAAGGTCACTTCATAATACTGAAGGGAAGAATCCACAAAGAAGTCATCAACATTGTAAACATATATGCACCCAATATAGGAGCACCAATACATAAAGCAAATCTTTGAGAACTTCGAGAAAGATATTGACAGCAATAAAATTATAGTGGGGGGGGGGGTTAACATCCCACTGTCAAAAATGGATAGATCTTCCAAACAAAATAACAAAGATTTCATGGCATTAAACAGTGCCCTAGAGGAAATGGACTTACCTGATATATATAGAGACCTCCATCCCAAAGAAGCTAAATACACATTCTTTTCAAATGTACATGGAACATTTTCATAGATAGACCACATGATAGGACACAAAACAAGCCTCAACAATTTCAAGAAAATTGAAATTACACCAAGCATTTTCTCAGATCACAAGCGACTGAAACTGGGAACCGACCCCAAAGAAAAAATCCCAAAACACTCAAAATCATGGAGATTAAATAGCATGCTATTAAACAATGAATGGGTCAAGAATAATATTAGGGAAGAAATTAAAAGGTTTCTGGAAACAAATGAAAACGAACTCATAACAACCCAAAACTTATGGGACACAGCCAAGGCAGTCCTCAGAGGGAAATTAACAGCGATACAGGCCCACTGAAAAAAGTTAGAAACATTTCAAACAAATAACCTAACCCTATGTCTACAAGAACTCGAGGAACAACAACAAAGACAGCCCAGAGCAAGTAGAAGGAAGGAAATAACCAAGATCAGAGCAGAATTAAATGACATGGAGACTAAAAGCAAAATTCTAAGGATCCATGAATCCAGGAGTTAATTCTTTGAAAAGATCAACAAAGTCCACAAGACTTTAAGCAGACTCATCAAGAAAAAAAGAGAGAAGACTCAAATAAACACAATCAGAAATGTAAGAGGGGAGATTACAACTGATACCACAGAAATACAAAGGGTTGTAAGAAATTACTATGAAGAACTGTATGCCAAGAAATTTGAAAGCCTAGGTGAAATGAACAAATTTCTAATCTATTTTTGAATATAACCTTCCAAAACTCAATGAAGAAGAAGCAGAGACTGAACAGGCCAATAACAGCTGATAAAATTGAAGCAGTAATAAAAAAAACTCCCAACACACAAAAGCCCTGATTGTTCCACAGGACCAGATGGTTTCACAGGAGAATTCTCCAAAGCATTTAAGGAAGAGCTAACCCCTATCCTTCACAGACTGTTCCAAAAAAATCCAAAAAGATGAAGACTCCCAAACTCTTTTTATGAGGCAGCATCTTCCTAATCCAAAACCAGATAAAGACACAACAAAGAAAGAAAACTTCAGGCCATGTCACTGATGAACACTGACGCTAAAATCCTCAAAAAATATTGGCAAACTGAATCCAAGAATACATTAAAAGGATCATACTCCATGACCAAGTGAGGTTCATCCCAGAGATGCAAGGATGGTACAATATTTGCAAATCAGTAAGTATAACACATCACATAAAAAAAGCAAAGACAAAAATCACATGACCATATCAATAGATGCAGAAAAAGCATTTGATAAGGTACAGCACCCATTTATGATAAAAACACTCAGCAAAGTGGGAATAGAGGGTGCATTCCTCAACATAATAAAGGCCTTATATGAGAGACCTATAGCCTACATCATATTCAATGGGCAAAAGCTAAAATCTTTTCCACTATGATCAGGAACAAGACAAGGCTGTCCACTTTGACCACTTCTATTCAATATAGTACTGAAAGTTATAGCCACAGAAATCAGACAAGGAAAAGAAATAAAAGGCATCCAAATCAGAAAGGAGGAAACAAAACTGTCACTGTTTGCATATGACATGATAGTGTACATGGAAAATCCTACAGACTCGACCAAAAAACTGCTTGACCTAATGAATGAATTTGGCAAAACAGTGATATACAAAGTCAATATCCAGAAATCAAAGGCATTTCTGTACACCATCAATGAAGCAGCAGAGGCAGAAATCAAGAAAAAAAAATCCCATTTGATATAGCTAAATGTAAAATAAAATATCTAGAAATAAACCTAACCAAAGAGGTATAAGACCTGTATTCAGAAAACTACATAACACTGAGGAAAGAAATCAAGGAAGACACAAACAAATGGAAACATATACTGTGTTCATGGACTGGAAGAACTAACATCAAAATGTCCATACTACCCAAAGCAATTTACACATTCAATGCAATACCTATTAAAGTACCAATGGCATATTTCACAGACATAGAACAAACACTTCAAAAACTTATATGGAACCATAAACGACCCCAAATAGCTGCTGCAATTTTGAGAAAGAAGAGTAAAGTAGGAGGGATCACAATACCTGATACTAAACTATACTACAAAGCCACTGTAATCCAAACAGCCTGGTATTGGCATAAAAACAGGCACATGGAGCAATGGAACAGAGCAGAGAGCCCAGAAATAAACCCAAGGCTCAATGGTCAATTATTATTTGAAAAAGAGTGCAGCAACATAAAATGGAGTAAAAATAGCCCTTTCAAGAAATGGTGTTGGGAGAACTGGACAGCTACATGCAAAAAAAATAAAAAATAAAAAAGAAACACAAGCACCAACTTACACCTTACACAAAAAATAAATTCAAGGTGGATAAAAGACTTAAATATGAACCATGACACCATTAAAGCCCTAGAGGAGAACATAAGCAGTAAAATTTCAGATATTTCACTCAGCAACATTTTTACTGACATTTCCCCAAAGCAAGGGACATAAAGGAAAGAAAACAAATGGGATCTCATCAAAAGAAAAAGCTTCTGATGGCTAAAGAAAACATTATTAAAATAAAAAGAGAACCAACTGTATGGGAAAACATATTTGTCAATGATACCTCAGACAAGGGTTTAATCTCCAAAATATATAAAGAACTTTCACAACTCCATTCTAAGGAAACAAGCAACCAAATTAAAAAAATCAGAAAGGACTTGAATGGACACTTCTCCAAGGAGGAAATTCAGAGGATCCAGAGACACATGAAAAGATGTTCAACATTGCTAGCTATTGGAGAGATGCAAATGAAAACCACAATTACATATCACTTCACACCTGTCAAAATGACCATCATAAACAAAGCAACAAACAACAAGTGTTGGAGAGGTTGTGGAGAAAAGGGGACACTAGTGCACTGTTGGTGAGATGGCAGACTGGTACAACCACTATGGAAAGCAGAATGGAACTTCCTCAGAAAACTAAAAATGCATCTGCCTTTTGACCCAGAAATTTCACTGATGGGACTATAACCTAAGAACCCTGAAACAACAATCCAAAAGAACCTATGCACCCCAATATTCATAGCAGCACAATTTACAATAGCCAGCTACTGGAAAAAACCTAGGTGCCCATCAGTAAATGAATGGATCAAAAAACTATGGTACATTTACGTAATGGAATTCTATGCAGCAAAAAGAAAGAAGGAGCTCCTACACTTTGCAACAGCCTGGATGGAGCTGGAAAGCATTATGCTAAGTGAAGTAAACAAGACAGTGAAAGACAAATACCATATGATCTCAAGGAACCTAAACAACAAAACAAACAAACAAGCAAAATATAGTCAAAGACACTGAAATAGAGGACAGGCTGACAGTGACCAGAGGGGAGAGGGGAGGGAATTTCAGGAGAGAATGGAAGGGTTTATGGAAACAAATATGAAGGACACATGGACAAAAACTAAGGAGTTGGAAATGGGAGGGAGGTGGGGAGGGATGAGTGAGTGGGCTAGAATGGAAGTAAAGGACAGAAAACTGTACTTGAACAATGATTAAAATAAAATTAAAGAAAAAATATGTATTTAGTAAAGCTAACTCTCCCACGAAGCTTAAAGAATAGGTGGGTTAGGTTCTTCAATCAATACTATAAATTTACCATTCTATTAAAGTAATATGCACATAAAATAAATTAATAGTCAATATAATAAATGCTTTATCTCATATTTAATATGAATTTACTTACTTATTTACCTTATACTTAATAAAGTAAATATATTTTTGATATTAAAAGAGTCACAATTGTTAGGTTTGCTACCTAAAAGATGTTTTTAAATCTTAGTTATCACTAGGACTATTACATGTTAGTAATTATTAATATTGGTAAGCAAATAATAGGTTTATAAATTTGATGGCTATCACAAGAAGTCTAGAGAACAATGTTCTGAGTTTAGACTAGCAATATAAAAGAAAAAATGCTGGCAATTGCATAAAGTTCAAAATATTCAACCTTATATTTATAATCCCTATGATATTGTAAATCAATGACTACAAAATAAAAATAAAGTGGGAAGAAATTTCTGAGCAAGATAATAGGAATTGTCTATTTTTCCCTAAAAATTTTTAAATGAGAATGAAGATTAAGTATTAATTAGCCCCTGAAAGCAGTAGGACTGAGTCTGGGTAGTTATAAGGGCCTGATCAGAGGGGGCTCATGTTACCTCTCTAAGCCTTTGCATTCTCTCTTCTTCAAAAATACTTGCTAATGGGAGGCCTAAGAATTCATGCAGACCTTCATTTTAAAACATAAAAGACTTGAGATCTAAAAAACTAAAATGGCTTCAGGAGGACAAAACAGAATTTGTACATCCTTCTTTTTTCCATTCCAGTAATAAACTGGCAATAATATTGCCAATGTCCCTACCAACCAAGTCTGAGAAGACTATGTCTTATATCTGGGGTAAGTAACACTGGAGACAATGCCAGACCTTTGAGGAAGTCCCACTCACTTGGCAAGCTGCGAGGTGGAGGGGGAGGCACGCTGTTTATGGCTCTCATGTGAAACAGAATGGCTGAGGAAAGAGAAGACACAGGCATCTTGACGGCTTAAAGGCAGTTAGGCAGAAATGACTTGAGAGGCAAAGGATGACTTTTCCTTGATGCCTCATAAAGCCAAACCTTCAGGGTGCCCTCTGATAGGCTACATACTTCGGAACCCCCCTTATAGTTCTCACCAGTGTTGTCACTGCATTCCGAGAGGGAGGCTGGTCTAGGAATTCATGAACGGTGCTCTGGGAAATACCGTGAGTAACAGGAATGAGGAAGGAAATCCCAACAGAATCACAGAAATGGAGATCACATGGGGGGTTATCAGTGGGTGGAGAAGGGTGGAAAAGGTACAGGGAATAAGAGGCATAATTTGTAGGTACAAAATAGACAGAGGGACATTAAGAATAATATAGGAAATGGAGAAGCCAAAGAACTTATATGTACAACCCATGGACATGAACTAAGATTGGGGGAGTGCTGGAGGTTGAGAGGGCGCAGGGCAGCGGGCGATAAAGGGGAAAAAAATGGGACAATTGTAGAAGCATGATCAATAAAATATACTTAAAAAGAGAGAAGAATTCATTTCATTGGTCTTATGTAAATAAGAGAGAACACTTTCCCTGCCTGCTAAAAGTTCCCATTGGGTCTCATACCCTTTTTGTAGCAGCTTCTCTACAGGATATTTACACTGCTCTCCAAGACAGCATACATCAGATAAAACACTGCTTCTAGTATTGTATACCAATAAATTCACCCTTGCTAATATTTCAACAAATTCTGCTAGAGTGTTCTATATATGGGTTAGCCAAAAAGTCTACATAGATTTCTCAGTAAAATAACAGACCATTTTTCATTTTCACAAGTAATTTTATTCATTAATATTTCTGTTTGATAGCTATCAGCTTCAAATAGACTACCTGACTATGGAGCATTGTCCAGAGGGAAATCTCCAGTATGAAACTCCAAATGATTTTTGACATGTATGTTCAATTATAACACCACAATACACTGCACAATTTTTTTGTGTGTGTTTCAGTTGCATTTTTACCTTTCTTGAAATAATAAAGCATAATATGCTGAAATGTTGCATATTTTCTTTCATCTTCACTATTATAAAGGCTACACAAAAATTCACTAATTTTGATTTTTTAATGCACTCTGATATGATAGCTGTCACAATACAATCTAACAAAATTGTTTCCAGTGAAGTTAAAGACAAAAATGTGCTTACTAATGCCATCTTACAAGAAAAATCAAACAAATATTTTGTTTATTTTCTGCTGCTTCACAATCATTAAGGCTTGTTACAATGGCTAGGGTTTAAAGTTCTAAAGAATGTATCTTTTGATTCTGAGTATGTCCCCTGAGGGCCTTTAAAATTATTTTCCTGGATGGAACTGGAGAATATTAAGCTAAGTGAAATAAATCAGGTGGTGAAAGACAAACACCATATCATCTCGCCTATAAAAGGAACCTAATCAACAAAACAAACAAATGAGTGAAATAGAACCAGATACTTGTAAATAAAGAACAAAGTGACAGTGACCAATGGAAAGCAGGGAGGGAGGAAACGGGAAATAATGGAAAGGTGCAAGCCAAGAAACATGAATAGAGGACTCATGGGCATAGACAACGGGTATGGGGAGATTGACTGTGGGAGTAGTGTTGACAGGGAAGGGAAAACAATGGATAAAAAGGGAAAAATGTAACTGGCCAGCAATTAAAAACTAAAACTGAAAAAAAAATGTCCTGGTGTCATTACCATAATGGGTTATGCACAAAAGGATTGTGACTCACTTTGGAGTCTAACAGACTAAGATCCATTTACTGACCAACTTTGTCTAAAAACCATTAATAACCAGAATTGAAAACCTCAGTTATAGTATAGAAATAAAACATTTATCTTACAAAAGTTCCTAGGAAATTGTCTCTGTACAATAAACTTACATCATCATAACTTTTCAAAGGACTATACCTTGCCTCCTAAACTCTGGACTCACTGCAGACTTGAATTTGTCAGGTCTCATCAGTGTTTTTCAACTCTGTTTTCTACACCAGCCAGGCACCTTCATCTGCACAGAGCCCACCCTAGAATGGCACCTGGTTATCCTCACTATATCTTTTGGTCACTGATGCCTTCATTTGCCAGACTGCCCCAGACCCGCTGTCCTCCCATTCTCATGTTTAAAACTCCAAGAACCAAAGACCTGTTTATGGAAGTTGATTATAAAGTTCTCCTGCATTTTTCATGGATTTTAAATGGATGGTCTGTGTTATATGATTTTTCACATTCTTTTTTATTTATTTTTAATATTTTATTGATTATGCTATTACAGTTGTCCCATTTCCCTTCCTTTATTCCTCTCCACCCTGCACACCCCCTCCCACCTGCACTGCTCCCCTTTAGTTCATGTCCATGGGTCATATATATAAGTTCTTTGGCTTCTATACTTCCGACACTATTCTGAACCTCCCCCTGGCTATCTCCTACCTACCATTTATGCTACTTATTCTCTGTACCTTTTACCCTTCTCTCCCCTTTCTACTACCCCCATCGATAACCCTCCATGTGATGTCCATTTCCGTGATTCTGTTCCTGTTCTACTTGTTTGCTTAGTTTGTTTTCGTTTTTTCAATTTTGGTTGTTAATAGCTGTGAGTTTGCTGTTCATATTTTTTATCTTTTTCTTGGATAAATCAGTTTAACATTTCACATAAGGGCTTGGTGATGATGAACTCCTTTAATTTGACCTCACTTTATCTACCCTTCCATTCTAAAAGATAGCTTTGTTGGATAGAGTATACTTGGATGTAGGTCCTTGCCTTTCATGACTTCAAATACTTCTTTCCAACCCCTTCTTGCCTGCAAGGTTTCTTTTGAGAAATCAGCTTATAGTCTTATGGGAACTCCTTTGTAGGTAACTGTCTCCTTTTCTCTTGCTGCTTTTAAGATTCTCTCCTTATCTTTAATCTTGGCTTATGTAAGTATGATGCGCTTTGGTGTGTTCCTCATTGGCTCCAACTTCTTTGGGACTCTCTGGGCTTCCTGAACTTCCTGAAAATTTATTTCCTTTGTCAGATTGGGGAAGTTCTCCTTCATTATTTTTTCAAATAAGTTTTCAATTTCTTGCTCTTCCTCTTCCTTCTGGCACCCATATGATTTGGATTTTGGAATGTTAGAAGGTATCCTGGAGCTTCCTAAGCCTCTCCTCATTTTTTTGAATTCTTGTTTCTTCATTCTGTCCTGATTGAATGTTTCTTTCTTCCTGCTGCTCCAAATCATTGATTTGAGTCCCTATTTCTTTCCCTTTGTTGTGGAAAATCCACCCATACGCAGGGAGATAATGAAGCACGAACTTTATTACCCAGGGGCCCAGAGGGGGTGGCTAACATCCAAATCCTCTGAGCACCGATCCTCACTCTCCCGGGGTTTAAATAGTCCCGGGCTTCCTACCTACGTGGCGAAGCAAGGTTACAGAAGCCGAATGCGGAAGTTAGGTCCAGCTACCTTATATGGGAGACAAAGAGAAAACTCAGGAGGAATTTGCAGAAGCAAGGAGCGAGGAGCTTATCATGGGAGTCTGTGTACGACCTTGAGTAACTGGCCGTTGCTTTGGTTACGACTTGTCAGCTTCTACAGTCCTGTGTGAAACTTTGCAAGTGTTACAGTTACAGAGCATAAGAAACCTTTGGAGTTTTCTTTTCCTGCCACATTCCCCCCTTTGATGCTATAAGGTGTTTTATCCCTTTTAGCATCACTAATACCTGGCTATAAGGCTGAGGTCTTTGGGAGGGTTACAACTGCTGATACTGGTGTTGGTACCACTGGAGGGCTAGCACTGTGGCAGCTGCCCTGTGAGTCACTGTAGCCCTAGGTGTGGGACTAAGGTCCGGAGGATGCAGGGTCCTATATGCCTGACACCTCTGGGTCTGGTACTTTATGGTCCTGGATGTTACTCTAGTCTAGTATACCTTCCCTCCCCAAGTGCAGAGGGATTGCTGTGACTGAATGCAACCCAATGGCATGTCAGTGGAGGAGCTGAAAGCTGACCCTGGGAGATAGTAAGAGACCACTTTACCGCTGAGCATAATTCTATGCCTGGGGGTACTACATTTGCAGGCTGGGGCTGAGACAGGGGCCACATTTGTTAAGCAAAGCATACAATAAATCCAAATACAGAGATCAAACAGAGACAAACTATTTCTAAGGTGTCCCGCTTTGCAGGGATTCCATTCCTCAGGGGCCACAGTCACTAGTCCAATTGTCAATGCTCCTGCAAAGGTGCCAATTAAAGTCAGGTACTCTGTGGAACAACAGTTTATTCCTTGGCATCTTTTTTTTACTGGTTGGCGTCCTCCACTGTCTTAGCGTGGGTTTTGGCACAGGCCTAGTCCTCGGGTCTTTGGGATCTGCTGCTGTCTTGGCCCAGCTGTAGTAGATCCAAGGGGTGACTCCTGCAGCAGTAAGTTTGTCCAGGGCAGTCCAGTTTTCTGGTCTGCATACTTGGCAACTTTCTTGTCTTCAACTATATAGCTGCTTCCATCCATGTAGTGGGTGACATCAACATCAGGTTGGACCAGGGGCTGGTCCTGGAGGTCTGGCCGGCTGGCGTGGACCTCTCTGGTTACTCTAAGACAGTCATGGTCTAGTTCTCTAAGTTCTGCCGGTAAGTAGGTGACTGGATTGATTTGTTTCATGGTCTTAACATGCACCCTCGGGTTTCCTTGGAGGATGCCCTGGTATTGAGTCAGTCTGGGGTTCGACAGCCACTTATGCCTCTTGCAAGAGCGTTATGGCAGCAGCGACTGCCCTCAGATGAGGTGGCCAGCCGGTGGCGCCCAGCAGATGTCCAACTGCTTAGACAGGTGAGCCACCGGGTGTTGCCATGGTCCGACAGGCTGGGTCAGGATTCAAGGGTTACCTTGTCTCTCTTGTGGGTGTACAGATTAAAAGGCCGCCTCGGCTTTGACAGTCCAAGGGCAGGAACATTACTGAGGCACCTCTTAATATTTTGGAAGGCTTTTTCTTAATGTCCGGACCTTTCAAAG